ACCGTATGCTAACACATATATATGGAATCTAAAGAAGGTTCTGAAGAACCCAGGGGCAGGACAAGAATAAAGATGTAGACGTAGAGGATGGACTTGAGGACATGGGGAGGAGGAAGGGTAAGCTGGGACGAAGTGAGAGAGTGGCATGGACGTATATAAGGTAAAATAGATAGCTAGTGGGAAGCAGCCGCATAGCACAGGGAGATCAGCTTGGCGCTTTGTGACTACCTAGAGGAGTGGGATAGGGAGAGTGGGAGGGAGATGCAAGAGGGAGGAGATATGGGGATATATGTATATGTATAGCTGATTCACTTTGTTATAAAGCGGAAACTAACACATCATTGTAAAGCAGTTATAGTCCAGTAAAGGTGATAAAACATATATATACTTTCCTCAACTTTAAAACTATTCTTCATTGAAGTCTTACAAGAAGAAGTGCTAATGCAAAAAATAAGAATGTACCTACTTTTTAATGACTCACCTAATATAAAAGGCAGATAGGTTGTATTACATCCTCTACCGTAATGCTGTGTTCATTGCTCATAAAATATTTCTGATGGTTTTCTTCCTTTCAATTTGACCAGCAAAGCCCAGATGAGCCTTTGAGAAGCAGAAAGGTGTTTGTTGGCCGTTGTACGGAAGACATGACTGCTGATGAGTTGCGGCAGTTTTTTTGCCAGTACGGAGAAGTGGTAGATGTCTTCATTCCCAAACCGTTCAGGGCTTTTGCCTTCGTTACGTTTGCAGATGATCAGGTATTTTCTCTTAATAATTTTGTCCCAGCTAATTAGGTAATTTCTGTGGGACTTTGCCCTTCCAGCCAATTGCCACCCTTAGCTGAGCTCTCTGACCTTGTACGCTGTGGGGTATATGGGCCTGAACGTTTGTGATAAACCCCTCAGATATTTTTTTAGTATGTGAGGTTTAAGTGGGGATGTTACATGTCCTTTGAAAAAGAACTAAAAAATCGCTGCTGCCATTACTGAAGCTAAAGGCTATTTTATGGTTTTAAATGAAATAAGTGTTCATTGCTTATTTTTTCTCCAGTTTAGATGATGGCTTGAAATCTAAGTTTTATTGCTACTTTGATGTATGAGTCAGTGGTTTAATCTCCTTTATTTGCATCCCTTATTTTTTTGTAGGTTGCCCAGTCTCTTTGTGGAGAGGACTTGATCATTAAAGGAATCAGCGTACATATATCCAATGCTGAACCTAAACACAATAGCAATAGACAGTTAGAAAGAAGTGGAAGATTTGGTGGTAATCCAGGTGGCTTTGGGAATCAGGGTGGATTTGGTAACAGTAGAGGGGGTGGAGCTGGTTTGGGAAACAATCAAGGTAGTAATATGGGTGGAGGGATGAACTTTGGTGCTTTTAGCATTAATCCAGCAATGATGGCTGCAGCCCAGGCAGCTCTGCAGAGCAGCTGGGGTATGATGGGCATGTTAGCCAGTCAGCAGAACCAGTCAGGCCCATCAGGTAATAACCAAAGCCAAGGCAACATGCAGAGGGAGCCAAATCAGGCTTTTGGTTCTGGAAATAACTCTTATAGTGGTTCTAATTCAGGTGCAGCAATTGGTTGGGGATCAGCATCAAATGCAGGGTCAGGCAGTGGTTTTAATGGAGGCTTTGGCTCAAGCATGGATTCTAAATCTTCTGGCTGGGGAATGTAGACGTTGGGTTATCATTAGTTGGTATAAACTGGTGGGAATTCAGATTTTTCTAAACTCATGGTAAGTATATTGTAAAATACGTATGTACTAAGAATTTTCAAAATTGGTTTGTTCAGTGTGGAGTATATTCAGCAGTATTTTTGACATTTTTCTTTAGAAAAAGAGGAAGAGCTAAAGGAATTTTATAAGTTTTGTTACATAAAGGGTTGAAATATTGAGTGTTTGAAAGTGAACTGCTGTTTGCCTGATTGGTAAACCAACACACTACAATTGATATCAAAAGGTTTCTCCTGTAATATTTTATCCCTGGACTTGTCAAGTGAATTCTTTGCATGTTCAAAATGGAAACCATTGGTTAGAACTACATTTCTTTTCTCCTTGTTTTAATTTGAACCCCACCATATGGATTTTTTCCTTAGGAAAATCTCCTTTTTGGAGATCATGGTGTCACAGTGTTTGGTTCTTTTGTTTTTTGTTTTTGTTTTTTAACACTTGTCTCCCTTCATATACAAAAGTACAATATGAAGCCTTCATTTAATCTCTGCAGTTCATCTCATTTCAAATGTTTATGGAAGAAGCACTTCATTGAAAGTAGTGCTGTAAATATTCTGCCATAGGAATACTTCTGTCTTCATGCTTTCTCATTCAAGAAGAATTCGTCACGCTGCACAGGCTGTGTCTTTGACGGTGGGTGTCCCATTTTTATCCGCTACTCTTTATTTCATGGAGTCGTATCAACGCTATGAACGCAAGGCTGTGATATGGAACCAGAAGGCTGTTTGAACTTTTGAAACCTTGTGTGGGATTGATGGTGGTGCCGAGGCATGAAAGGCTAGTATGAGCGAGAAAAGGAGAGAGCGCGTGCAGAGACTTGGTGGTGCATAATGGATATTTTTTAACTTGGAGAGATGTGTCTCTCAATCCCTGTGGCTTTGGTGAGAGAGTGTGCAGAGAGCAATGATAGCAAATAACGTACGAATGTTTTTTGCATTCAAAGGACATCCACATCTGTTGGAAGACTTTAAGTGAGTTTTGTTCTTAGATAACCCACGTTAGCTGAATGTGTTAAGTGAAACGATACCTGTATTTCCCCTGCCCCTTTGTCAACTGCTGTGAATGCTGTATGGTGTGTGCTCCCTTCTGTTACTGACCTGTAAGCGTGGCAATGTGGACTGAAGCTGATGGGTTGAGGACATGGACTGAGCTTGTGGTGCGCTTTGCAGGAGTACTTGGAAGCAGAGTTCACCAGTGAGCTCGGGGTGTCTCAAAATAGGGTGCAAGTTCTCATGTCTGTTAGCTACCCATAAGAATGCTGTTTGCTGCAGCTCTGTGTCCTGTGCTTGGATGCTTTTTATAAGAGTTGTCAATGTTGGAAATTCTTAAATAAAACTGATTTAAATAATATGTGTCTTTGTTTTGCAGCCCTGAATGCAAAGAATTCATAGCAGTTAATTCCCCTTTTTTGACCCTTTTGAGATGGAACTTTCATAAAGTTTCTTGGCAGTAGTTTATTTTGCTTCAAATAAACTTATTTGAAAAGTTGTCTCAAGTCAAATGGATTCATCACCTGTCATGCATTGACACCTGATACCCAGACTTAATTGCTATTTGTTCTTGCATTGTCCAAAGTGAAAAGTTTTTTTTTTTTCTTTTTAAATCTAGTTTTTAATAAGTCTGGGTGACCGCACCTAAAATGGTAAGCAGTACCCTCCAGCTTTTTCTTAGTGCCTCTGTGCATTTGGGTGATGTTCTATTTACATGGCCTGTTATAAATCTCCATTGGGAAATCATGCCTTCTAAAAATATTCTGATTTGGAGGAGTGGGCAAAACAATGTTAATTATTTTAAAATGCTTTGTAGCAAAGCCTATCAATTGAAGGGACTGTCAGCACCTTTCTAGTTGGGGATTTGAAAAGTGGAATTAATTGCAATAGGGATAAAGTAGAAGAAACCACAAATTATCTTGTGCCTGAAATCCATTAGGAAGCCTGATAGCTTTAAGAACTAGCAGGGTGGGTTGTCTGTCTGTGGAAGTGTTAAGTGAAATGGGCTTTGTCTTCCAAAGGTGGGGAAATAGAGTAATGTTGAATAAAATCGCTTATAAAACTCAGATTAGACTCTCACGATGCATTGTTAAGTATGTAAAAGCAATAATATATTCTCCGTTGTACTTAAAATGTAACTAACTTCTATGAGAGTTGAGCTCCTTTTCTAATGGAAGAATGTAAGTTTTTGTGCTGATAATTTACTTGATGCCCTTATCTAATTAGATTATGATAAATAGGTTTGTCATTTTGCAAGTTACATGTTTTAAACTTAAAAATGAAGTCGTCCTTTAGACTTATGGTCGCCACATTGTTTTATTCAGTTTCATCTGTAAAAGGATCTTGCGTTGTTTTAATTTTTTTTTTCTGCATCTAAATTGCATGATTTCCAAATCCTGTACCATCTGAATTTTGCATTTTAGCACTTGCACTGTTACTCAGCAGCAGTAACATGGTAACACTTAAAATGGTATTCGGGGACCTCCAAAGACTAAACTGACACGCCTTCAAGGAGCCCAGGGGTAAGTTATCTTTGTCAATGGCATGGTTTTGATCCCTTATTTACACTTGTGTAAATCTAGTTACCAGTCTTAGAAGGCTTTCAATGTTGACTAGCCTTCTGTTAACATGTTTATGGTACTACGTAGCTATGGGTATTTAATTCTACCCTAAAGAAAAAAAAATGAAGTTTAGAAGTAAACTATTTGGCAGAGATTTGTTTTTAAAGTCTATTTGATCATCTAAATGCATTCATTCTAAAAAATTTTTTGAACCAGTTGAATAAAAATTTTTGTTGCCACCACAGTTTAGTGTCTGGAGTCTTACTGGAAAAACACAGTTTCTTTTTTTTTTTAACGTGACAAAGATGCTGGAAAGCTACCTTTAAAAAGTGAGTCTCAAGAAGTTGCACTTCATATGCACAAGAGAAGTTAGTCAGAACTCGCAATGAATTTCTACATATAATGGTAACTGTTTGGCTAGAATGAAAAAGTTTGTTAAATGTTAAGTATTAAAGCTTTTTAGGGAGGAATGGCCAACTAAATGAAATGAGATTTTTAAGGTTAAGTCAGAGCTTAAATGCTGTCCTTAGGAAAAAGATGTTGAGTACTTAGTAATTCAGAAGATGTATGTGATAATTAGAATAATTTTTTGTTGAATACTAGGAGAGTAACCCTTAACTGTGTATTTAAGTTCTGTACTTAGCTGTTGTACGATCTGTAATCTATTTTTAAATGTGCCCAAGTATTCCACATTCGTGGTAAGAAGGAAAAAAACACTACAGATTGATTTATCAATAATACCGCCACTTATTTTTAATGTTGTATTTCATCTTATGGAAATGCCACATTTGATTCAACTGTCTTCTGAATTTGAAAATAAAATATTTAGGTTATTTCCAAGTGCTAGGAACATCCTCACAGCTAAATTAAAATCTTAGCATTGGAATTACCAGGTCAGAGACTGTGCATGCTTTTAAGACTTGTGAAATAGATTTGCCAAATTGTCCTTCAGAAAATTCGTCGCCTTCGACAGTGTGAACTGGTGCTGTTCCATGCTCTTCTTTTCTGCCAGTTTGAGAAGTGAAAAATTATAGCATCGCTTTTAACATGGAAATCAGTCTATACCTAGGCCAAAGTATTGATATTTCCAATTTATCTACCCAAGAAAAACATGATTCAAAGTAATTCCTGAACCAATACTGCTATAATATGTAACGCTCTCAGAGAACAATAAGAACAAGTACAAAAACTGGAGAAAAACAGTTAAAGAACACGAACAGGCAATTTCCAGAAATGCAAATGGCCAGTACAAAAAGACACTGGACTTTTGTAAGTCAGTCCAAATTTAACCAGTGAGTTTCTGTTGGATTGGCAACGGTGAATATCACTACAATGGTTTATGTCCCCTTCAATCAGAGAGTAAGTGGTGGAAAAGTGGCAAGTGGAGAAGTGCCTGAAAGGCACATCTCACCTGTAGTTTGGTTTGGTTTTGAGGTGGAACAGCAACTGTCGTGTTAATGTTTCTCAGGTCAGTTTGCTGCCGAGGTCTTTTACAGGTATTTTTTAGAACAATCATGTACTCACTGGAGACACACAAGTTAAAAACTATTAATTATGTTCTTAATCCAGGGAATATAGTTAATGACTTTTGTGTAGACCCCATACTGATCTGCTTCCCCACAATTGATGGAACCCCAGGACACTATTCCTCCCACAAACCATTTCTGTGTCTCATTATGTAGAAACACTAATGCCCCCCCACTGTCGCCTTTACAGCTGTCCTTGCCCCCACTTTCTAAACCAGCACAAAGCATGTTGTCAGTTACCCTTCCCCCCGGATAGGACTTCTTTGCATATGCCGCAGTACAGTTTTGATGGTCAACAACTGGTATGTCAACAAACATTAGATTTCTGGCAAGAAGACCCCTCTGGGTTAATCCCCATCCAGATGCAGTTCCAATGTCATTGGTTCTCATGAAGCATTCAGCTTCTTTTCTTGGCAAACAGATAGGCATGATGTTGCTATTTAATACAACTTTGTTCTTCAATTTAATCAATGCTATGTCGTTATCGTAACCAGCATTATGAGTGTAACGTTCATGTATAAAAATGGCCTCGGCCCAGGCCTGTGTATAATGAGGTGACAGTCTCTTCAGGGCACCCATTCTAATGTCTAGGGAGGAGGCGTCTTCTCTTTGCTCATATACAGCATGAGCAGCTGTTAGGATCCAGTTGTCATATAGAAGTGCACCTGCTGCTATAGTTTTACCTAATAACAGGGCTTGCCAAGGAAAATCGCCAAGCTTTGCATTTTGTCCTCCATATATACGACCTTCTGTGGTACGGGTGGATATTCCACAAACTGGGGGGGAAAAAGATGTATAGAGCCTTTATAGAAACCCGATGGTGTTTTTTCTCCAATTATTACCACTTTGGAGTTGTGTATATGTAATGTCAGCCAAAAACTGCACCGCATAATTCGGCGGGTGTCCACCTGTACAGGCAAGTGAGACTGCTTAAAACGCTACTCAAAGACCTGGTAAAACCATTTGGTATTTTTTAGCTCTGCAGAAAATGAGGTGAGTGAAAATTAACTTTTAGAAACTGATTTGTTTTGGTAAAATAATTTGGTCTCGCAATTGGGAAAATATTTAATAGGGCAAGCAGGAATTGTCTGAGCTGATGTGCGTAGGAAGTGAAAAATAACCTTTTCATTGCTTCTGTTTTCCTGCTTGTAAAATGGGGTATTTACCATGTAGTTCTGGGAAAGCAGAAACTAAGGTCACTATCATAGGATTTGCAGAATTACTTTCACCTTTGTACATTAAAATGTTTTTAAAAATTAGAATGTTGCAGTTGTAGCCAGGAACCTTCAGGTTCAGAAATTATTTTGGGTCTAGTTGTTTCTTCCAAACACTAAACTTTATTATGTATTGCTAGCTAAATATGCTCATAAATGTAGCAAATACGTTTCCTGTTATGGCAGAATGCTCTTATTAAAGCTTACAAACATGGTTGTCAGCTAAGATGCAGGTTTTTTAAAAAGACTAATTTAAGCCAAATAACACAGGGGTGATGAGTATATTATTACCTTTCTGATTTTTTTTGTAAGCACTCAACTATATCTTCAGAGCAGATTCTGGTAAAACTTTTTTTTTAAGTACCGTTAAAAGGCAAATTGCATTAATGTTTAAAAACTAGATGTCATTGAAAACAATTGCTTAGGGAAATAATGAGGTTATTAGCTTTGGGTTTTAATAGCATTTTTAAAGAGGAGAAATCATGTTTATAAATGTATAAATGGTTCAAGATAATTTTAAAAATCATTTAATTTTTTATGCTTGCCTAGTTGTAAAGGTCAAAAATAATCAAATGACTGATACAGTCAGCACCAACAACCTCTCCATATGGAAGGGGTAATGAGAACATACTATTTGGAAATAATAAGTTGGTGTAAGAGGCAAGTGCTGAAGTTACATTTCTGCCTACACAGCTGAAGCACTACTTACTGTCTGCTACCCAGTTCTACTTTCCATCAGTTATGAATCTCGTGTATAAATGTATCCATTACCAGGCTCACAGACGGGGGGTGATTTTTCTCCTTTGGAGCTCGTCCAGAATCCATCAGCCTCACACACATATTTACCTGCAAATCATTGAAAGAGCAAAAATGTTTAACTGCATGTGAAAAGGTGGTTGTCATTTGCTTGAATACCCCCCTTGAAAAATGTAGATTCTTGAGCATCAGGGGGAAATAGAGGTGTCTGAATAACCATTTTACATGATTTCATAAATAGGAGGTCTCTGCATTACCATGTATGCTTGCAAAGTGGAAACCTTTTAGATGTGTAACTTGAATATGTATCAAGATCTTAAGTGCTTAATGATAAGGTTTTGACTTGTTAAACCATTTGGAATATATTGTGTGTTTGTAGTAGTCATTTACTAGATAAGATCTGTTTTCAGATTGTTGCAAATTGACTAAAGTCACTTCAGCTATAATATTTCACTTCGCAGGTGGAAGAAGTGCCTTTTAATCTTTTGTCTAGCCTTAGCCAAAAATGTTGGATAAGTTTATTTTCAGATCATGAGGGCTTAGGTTCCAAATATCACCCACCCCCAACTTTGAACAATTTGCTTACCATCATCTGTTCTCATTGTGTAGAACTCATTACAGCGATACTGAACCACAGCTTTATATACGGTCACCTCGGCACCCGTTACATAGTCCACTTGGCCACTGGGTAGGTCATCAGGAGGGCCACAGTCAACAACTAATAAACGCAGGAGAGGGAAGTCAGTTTGTACTTTGAATCCTAACATTAAAACGATGTGGAGACTGATAGGTGGTTGTGCTGTGTGTTGTTATAACTTGAAGTCATATTCAAGATGGACATCATTTCATCTCTGAAAATGGAGAGAATCACCTTGGTGTGATTTTAAAGCATCACTCTCATCTCTGTTCCTAACTAAATGGCTAGGTTGAAGTGAAGGCCCTAGGCAAGGAGTTGTATGATGCCTTCCCTAAAGGAAGGGAATTTGAAACTACTTGGACTTCCTTAGCACTCACAAAAGAAAGAAAACAGCACAGCCTGCATATGCCTATACAGTCTGGTTTGATGGTAAATGGTACAATTTGGTTAGCCTTAAAAATAGAACAATACAAAGACCGAAGAACCTGTTCTTATGATCCTTTTCCTAAATTGACCTTTTTAGAAGACCTGGAAGTCATAATACCTTGACTTTGGGTTAGAATTCACAACTGTTAGGACATTACTAATGTGACATGACCAATTTGTGAGACAAAGTGATACCAGTCTAAAAGGCATAGTTTTTGTACACAGACATCTAAAAATTGTTGATGTATTTCTGTGGATTTTAAAAGATAAATCGTTTTTAGCAACTTAATAGCAGTGTGTCTGGCTTTGTGTCAAGTGCGTTGTCTACGTTGCCTTAATTCTCCACAGATGGGATGCCCGTAACTACCCAGTGAAAAGTGGCAGAATCAGAGCTCAAACCCGTACCTTAGTCCAACAGTCCTTCGGTGCCAGCTCTTTACTGGTTTTTAAACTAGAAGAATTGGTAGTAAAGAATTGGTAGTCTCACGGGAATATAAATTTTGAAATAAAAATATTCCCCTAGGAATTTTGTAGAAACCCTTGCGAAAAAATACGTGAAAGTAGGGACTTCCCTGCTGGCGCAGTGGTTAGGAGTCCACCTGCCAATGCAGGGGACGCGGGTTCGAGCCCTGGTCCGGGAGGATCGCACATGCCACGGAGCAAGTAGGCCCGTGTGCCACAACTACTGGGCCTGCGCTCTGGAGAACGCGAGCCACAACTACCGAGCCCACGTGCCACAACTGAGGCCTGCACGCCTGGAGCCTGTGCTTTGCAACGGGAGAGGCCACTGCAGTGAGGGGACAGCGTGCTGCGGCGGCGAGTAGCCCCTGCTCAGTGCAACTAGAGGAAGCCTGCGCACAACAACGAAGACCCAATGCAGCCAAAAACTAAATTATTTTTAAAAAATATGTGAAAGTATACGTCCAGAGGTGTTAACTATGGCAGCGTATGTAATAGTAAAAAGCTGGAAACAATAGAAATCACATGAAATAAAAAGCATAGGTCCTCTGATGGAATACTATGCAGTCATTAAAAAGAAGGAGCAGCTCTATGAGTGCTTGGATTGTTGTGGAAAGATAACCCAACAATGTTGGGGGGAAGAGTACATTGCAGTCAGATTTAGTTCAAAAGTAAGTAATAGTGAGGTATGTTAGTATAAATAGTATAGGAAATAAAGAGTATGAAGGAATGGACCCCAGTGTCTTACAGGTAGTTTGAGGATTTGGGCAAGAGAGGCTTTCACTGTATTTTTGTGAATTTATATGGTTTTTCATTTAACACGTATCATAATTTTAAAAATATTAAAAATAAGGTATGTGATTCTTAGTTCACAAAATGGTAGTGAACACCGTTATCCCAGTTTGATGCGTATATGCCCCTACAAACAGTAGCCTATACATGTTTACATGTGTGATATATGTAATTGGAGGGCTGTGCACCAAAATAACGAGAGAGATTATACTCTGATATGGCGGGATTATGAATATTATAATGTTTGTAATTTTCTCTATTTCCCATCTTTTATGAGTATTTTATACTTAGAAAAATATTTTTAAATACCATACTTTTCTGAAGCAAATACTTTTCCTAGTAGCTTGGTCCTGTTTTAACCTCTTAAAAGTGCTCTGAGAGACTGAGGATGAGAAGCAAACTTGGAATTCAAGCCCTGATAAATCATTTTTTAAAAAGACCAGAAGCAGCAGTAGTAGCAGAAGCAGCTACAGGCGTTGTGGTCACACATACGTACTGCTGCACTCCGGCATCGGTTGGTCCCAAGATCCATCTGTCTGACAGACTGCAACAAATGATTTCAGGGGCCAATAACCCTAAAGAGGAATTGAGAAAATATTAATTTCCTTGTCTATATCATGAAACCACTCCCCAAAGCTCTGCTCCCACGATAGTTGTTCTTCGAGTGTTTCAAGGGATGCTCCCAAGGGGGTGATGCACCCACATGACTGGACACGCAGCCCAACTGCCTTGATACGTGTGTGTACTTGTTGGTGATGTCACCTATGTGTGTATCTCCGTTTTAAAGATGCTGACCTCTGCAGCAGTTTATATTTTCTGCTTTGCACTTAATCCAAGAATACGTCAGATTTCTCACAAGTTCCTGCTGGTGTTCCACCATTTCTTTATGTAAAGTGCCAAAGGGTGACAGTCAAAAGTTTGGGGAAGATCAGCCTGATCAGACATGGAGTGAATGTGTCTGGATTTTTCCTGCGGCTATTAACTGGAGGAAAGTTATTTAAAATATCAATATTTCCAGAAGCTTCGCGTGTGTGTCCTCAATCACTTTCCGTTGCTAATATTTAGCGGGACATTTTTGACTTATTTAAATATTTTTCTAAAACCAGACTTTAAAATGAAAGAAGGTGGCTTTGACTGAAGCTTTATGCTTCGAAGGAGAGCAGGATGACTTCTTTTTTCCTCAGAAACTGAACAGGCTTGGGTCCAAGTTGCTGTGGAAAGAGCCCGCCGAGAAGTTTACAAGTTGAACAAAGTGTCTCACTTTTTTGGGGTCGGGGGCAGTTGTCCCTCCACAGGACTGGTTGCATAACCAGCTATCTTTTCAGTGTTATTGCTTTTTACCACTGGGATTCAGTGACATTTTGAAGAACATAAAGAGGACATGTGACTCTCTAACCTGTGCCCCTAAAGCAACACACTGAGCATTTTTTGAAATTATCCTCCTTCTCCCTTAACAGTGGTCACTGTTTATAACTTTGCAGAATATACTGTTTCCAAGGGCCATTTAATTTTTTTGTGGGCCCAGGAGTTGTTTCATGTAAAGGTCATTTGACCAGGAGGAACTTGATTTAACGCAAGGTGATAACACAGAGCACATGACAAACATTTCAGCTGCTTTAACCAAGACCTGCTGTAATGTGTGTGAACAGAGAAAAGGTGTTCATTTTAATCGCCAGCTTTCCAAAAAAAAAAAAAAAAAGAAAAGAAAAAGCTTTTTTAAAAAGTGGAGTTCTGGGTTTCCCTCGTGGCACAGTGGTTGAGAATCCGCCTGCCAGTGCAGGGGACACGGGTTCGAGCCCTGGTCCGGGAAGATCCCACATGCCGCGGAGCAGCTGGGCCCGTGGGCCACAGCTACTGAGCCTGTGCTCTAGAGCCCACGAGCCATAACTACTGAGCCTGCATGCCACAACTACTGGATCCCGCGCACCTGGTGCCCGTGCTCTACAGCAAGAGAAGCCACCGAAACAACAAAGAGTAGCGCCCCCCTCGCCGCAACTAGAGAAAGCCCATGCACAGCAACAAAGACCCAACGCAGCCAAAAATAATAAATTTTTAAAAAATTTAAAAAAGCGGAGTTCCTAAGAATAGAAAACTCTCTGTAGCCGTTTCTCTTAGCAAATGTATCATTTCTTTGAATTTCATTGTTTAATCATAGGCAAAGTAAACCACCATGCTGACAACAGCTGTTTCCCCATTTTCCTTTCACATATTTGCTGATATAAATATGTATTCATTCAAAAACCGTCATGATTGTGGTGCACTTAAACAGCTTTGTATTAACTTACTTGCAGAAGTTCGTAGCCCGACTCGCAGAAGACAAAGAAGCGGTCTTTCATGATGTATGTGGCCTGCACAGGGGAGATGTGGCCGTTAGGTGGTGCCGTCGGGTCAGGGCAGGGCTGAGCTGCGCAAGGAAACCAGATGTCGGGGGTTTAGCTGGCTCTATAGCAGCAAGTCTGAATTTAGCAGTTAGAAGTTCCTGGTTTATAAATGAAACAACGTGTAAAGAGAGCTTGCCACAGTGGGGTAGAGTCCTTAAGATTTAAAACCAAAGGCAAGATGAAACTCTCGGCTGCTTATCGTACAAATTAGGATTTGTCTCCTGGCCTGGGCTTCAGCCAAAGTGATGAAAAGAAAGCCGGGCACGTGGTAAGGGAGCAAGGTCACGGCAAAGGGAGCATCTGTTCCACGCCAGGGGCCTCACACACACTGCTGAAAACCGGGGGAGTGTAACTTGCGGGGGAAGGCGCTGGACAGCATGGGTTAAAAATCACAGGAAGAAAAAGAAAAAAATCCCAGGAAAGCCTCAGTTTCCTCATCCGTAAGCTGAGAGTGATGAGAATGTTTGCTCAGCTTCTAGGGCTGCTGCGAGGACCAAATGTGAAGCCCAGAGGAAACCGCTTGGCTAATAAGTGCTGGGCAAGGGGCTGCAGCCAGCGAACCCTCACAGCAGCCCCTGTGGCTCAGAGAGGCACCGGGGCTCAGGGCCAGACTGGCACTCAGGAAGCCTCATACGTCCCTCGTGAGCACGTGCCCACAGGGCTCACGGCTGGCTTCCACTTTGGCCCCCAAACCCTGGCCTGTTGTCACCCCAAGCCTCCAGCCAGTCCCCCATGGCTGCCCATCCCCCAAGGCCACCCCTCAGCCCATGCAGGTCATTTGCCCAGTCCCCTGCTTCGTCCAGCAGCTGACCCCTGTGTCCTGCAGTGACTCTCAGTCCCAGGCAGGCCCCAGAGTCTCCCCTCTTGGAACCAGTCCCCAGGGATGTTCCAGGTGGCCCTGTCGGGGCCCAGGGCTTCCCGAGGCCACCTCATACCCAGGCCAGGGCCCTGCTGGCATTTCCCTTCACACACACCTCCAGGCTCTGTCCTGGCCCCTTCTCACCCACCAGCCTGGCAAGCCTGACTCTTCCCTCTGACTCACTCTGAAACCAGTGCTTCAGTTTTAGAAGTTTTATTACTTCGACCCACAGGAAAACAAAAGGCTTTTTAAATATGAACAAGAGGCAAATGAAATGTTCCCAAAGTGCTGGTCTCTCCCCTACTGACCCGTCTCTCACCCTTTCCCCCAGAGCTGGCCCAAAGGTTAATATCTTTCCTAATTCAATCTCATTTTTAAAATTACTCAACACCTCCTCCATGCTCACTCGGTGTCTTCTGCGTTAGCCCACTAATCCCCACCTTTCCAGGGAGCTTTGTCCTTCATTGGATAATTGGGACATTAAGTCTCAGAAAAGTTACGTTAAGAGGTTCAATGTCACATGGCCAGGAAACAGGATGCGTTACAGCCGGGACGCCAACCCGGGCAGCCTGACACCCAGCCTGCGCTCTGAGCACGGCTTGGGGCCTTGGGTGTTTTGCTTTGGAGCTTCTCCAGCTCAGTTACTCTCTCCAAAGACATCCTGAAAGACCTGTTGGCTGAGAGTGGTGAGAAGGACAGACACATCCAGAGGTCCGTGCCCGGAAGGTGGGGGGCTTGGACGCGTGTCTCAGGAGGTGGCACCAAGAACTACCGTCTACGTTTGAGGGTCTGTCACAAGGAAGAGGTGGTGGAGGAGGGTCTGAGAGGCAGAGTGCAGACTCCCTGTCCAAACCCTCCATGTCAGGCAGGAGCCCCCATCTCCGCCTACCCCATCACACCCTCTTACAGCTCACACCAAGAAAGCTGGAGCCTCTGGGCTTTTGCACATACACTTCCCTTGCACTTGGAACACCCTTCCACCTTCCTCCAATACCTACTTGTCCTTTCAATCCAATCTCGTATGTTTCGTGTCCCGGGCCCCTTTTGTTAGCACCCGGCCCCTGCCTGGGCCAGGTCCCTCCTCTGGACTCTCACTGTGTCTGGTGCTCGGCTGTGCTTGTCACAGGGCTGTGGTCACGTTGCTGTGACTAGACTGGACTGACAGCAGAGGTATTACGTATTCCCCACACAGGGCCCGGTGCACATCCATAAGATGGATGGATGGATGGATGGATGGAAGGAGGGAAGGATGGACAGATGGATGTGTGTGAGGGGTGGCATGAACATGACTTGGCATAAGGATTATAGCTGTCCCGCGATGTCTGCGGGGCATTGGTTCCAGGAGCCCCGTGGATACCAAAATCTGCGGTTGCTCAAGTCCCTTATACAAAATGGCAGAGGGAACGCCCTGGCGGTCCAGTGGTTAGGACTCCTCAGCGCTTTCACTGCCGAGGGCATGGGTTCAATCCCGGTCGGAAAACTAACATCATCCCACAAGCTTCTCGGCCAAAAGAAAAAAAAAAGGCAGAGTGTCAGCCATCTGTATCCACGGGCTCTACATCCACAGGTGTGGGAAGCCGACTGTATTTTGAGCTGATTATCTTATGAAACAGCAGACACGGGAGAGGCTCTGAAAGCAGAGTAGAAAGTACCCTTTTCTAAGGGAAATTTACGTTTACGGGGAGGAAATCTCCATTCGTAAGAGTGTCTCGAACTCTGTACCAGGAGTAGGATGACTACATCACTAGAAACGCTTAACAAAGGAAAAGACAGACAAATTTCTTTTACTAAAATTAAATTTCAAAAGCAATAAAAAGAAGACAGTCTTTAATCTGCATAATGAATCTTACTCTTGCTTACCACGCTTTCCCTGGTCACCGCCTCATAACTGGACTCCCCTGTACCCTTTCTCTCTTTCGTCTTTAGCTGAAGATGTGTAAGCCTGAATTCTAAGCCGCCTCTGAGACTCATTTTCCCCTGGGTTATCTCCCACCTATACACGAGATATCCATGTTCATAAACGTGTTTCTTTTTCTCTCGTTAACGTCTCTTGTTCCCAGCCAAGAATTTGGAAGGGCAGAGGGAAAATTATTATTTCCTCCCCTACAGATGGAAGGAAGGATGGTTGGATGGCTGGGTGAATGGAAGAGGGGAGGGTGAGAGGTAGGGAAGGAGAGAAGGATGGCTGTTTGGATGGGTAAATGGGTAGAAGGAGGGATGGTTGGATGGAGGGGTGAGCGAGTGGGTGGAAGAATGGGGGGGTGGCACTTCCCATAGGGGACCCCTGCCTCACAGACGACCCCACTCAAACCTGGCCTGTCTTCTGATGGAGTTCAGGACACACTACCTCAAAATACGGCACCTTGGCATGTTGACGATTTTAAGCTGGGAGTTTGAGAAAATGGCAGAAGCAGGAAGGTCACTCTGATTCCCCGCCCCTCGCCCTTCTTCCCTGAAGCAGGTCATAAGACCCTCATGTGAGAGGTGTCTGCCCTACACCCAGAGGGAAGCCTTATCACCAAAGACAAAAGGATGCCAAGAACAATCCTAACAGGCCTGGCTAAGTTCCCACACCCCATTTTCCACCCTTACTTCATATTCCTCAGCCTGTCATACTCCTCAACAAACCTAGCACAAAAGTCCACAGGTCCAGCTGTCTCTCTGCATCTTTATTTCCTTACAAAGGCTCCTGTACCACATAAAATTTACATGACATAAACATGTATGCTTTTTTTCCCTGTTAACCTGTCAGGTTGCTTTTCAGACCCAGCCAGGGACACTAAGAGGGTTAAGGAAAACTTTTCCCTCCCCTAACTTCCCAGGCCCGGCCAGGAAGAGTTCCATCCTATGTGGCTCCTTGATGCTTCTGGAAGAGCTCCCTGCCGAATCGGAGCCCCACCTGCCCTCACCTGTGCTGTTGTAGTGGATCTTCCAGCCCGTGTGGTCCCCCGACTGATCGGTGGCAAAGGTGATGGTCACAGCGTTGCTCTTGGTTTCAATCCTGCGGGGCAACGTCTTCCCACAAAATGGGCCATATTCCTCCTTGTCTGTTTGAATCTGAAAGTGGAGAGGCCCCTGTCACCTCAGGACCTGCCGGGCCAGGGGGAGGCAGCGGCCAGGGGAACCAGACCTTCAGGGAGTCGTAGGGGCACTGGGTCTCAGGGTGCATCTCCACGTCAAAGGACTCCACGAAGTCCAGGGTGACACGGAACCCCTCCTCCAGGCGGATGCTGTAGGTGCAGCTGGAGAGTTTGGGGTACGGCTGAGGGTATCCAGGGCTGCTGAGCACCCCAGACCGGGCGGTGAAGACCTGGCCTGAGCACAGGGCTGGGGAGAGGGGAGAGGACAGGCGGGGTGAGCCAGGTGTCCACTGTCACACGCCAGCCCCAGAGGCATCTCCTGAGACTGAACGCCCCACCCAGTGGCTGAAGGGACAATTTAGGGAGGGGTCTCTCTGGCTTCCAGGATTTAGCTGAAACAAGTGACCCTTGGAGGTACATTCTCCAGGGCCCCACTCACAACCCCAGGGAGGATGGAGGCCCTAAGCTGAGGCTCCTGGTGTGGGGAACCCTGGGCCAGAGTCACAGTTCCAGGGGTGCGGGGAGTGAGCCATGTCAGGGCCTGCCTGGGGGAAAGGGGCACCAGAAGTGAAGGGGACTTTCCTGTTCCCAGGAATTTGGTGTGGGGAGGTGGCAGGAGAGGGGTCTCCCCTGGGTCCCCTCCAGGAACACTCAGGAAGGCCTCCCCTTGCCCACCTTCCCTGGGTCTAGGCTCTGCCCTGGGGGGCAATTGAGGGCAGTTCAAGTCCACACTGATCATAAGCGAGTCTGGTAACCACTTTCCCCATTGAAACAGCTGATTCTGCCTTTGCAGACGGAATGTCTGTTGGCATCACTCGTAGGAGGGTTCTACCCCCCCATCCCCCAGGTGGCAGAGGTGGGGACACAGGCATTCCAGGAAGTGAGGCGTCCCAGCACTGCCTTTCTTCTTCCACGTGGCTGCTCCCCATGGGACAGAGGGAGTCACCCCCGGATGTGGGGGACCAACCAGACTGCCCATCAGTGAATCGATACCTCCTTGGGCCTCTCTGCTCGGGGTCAGACTCCCCCAGCGCAGCACACCCAGGACCTGAGGTATCCTCTGAACAGGAGGTGGACCCCAGGATGCTCTGAGCTCAGTCCTTGGATTCCTGGTGGGGGAGTAGCAAGAGCTCGGTTCCCCTGTGTGAGCCCCCTGCCCCTCTCTGGGCCTTGGTGCCCCATCATCAAAATGAGGGTGAGGACAGAGCAAGCCTCTCTGGCAAAGGAGCCTGTGGCCCCATAGAGGCGGCTCCCACCAACTAGGGCCCATCGGGCTGAGGTGAGGGTGGGAAGGAAGGGGGTCCAGAGTGCACACTGCTGCCCTCCCCTCACCCTTCCCCGCCCAGAGACACGCAGCAGGTGGAGGTGGAGCCGAGTTTATTGTTAGGTCCGTGGGCGGGGTCAATGGGGGCTACAGGCTGCAGCGGTCTTGCCCGAGCCAGACCGGAGCCGGAGGGCAGGCTAGAGGCTCTGCTCTAGAAGAGAGAACAGAGACGGGGAGAGACACGGGGAAGGGCACTGAGCAGGGGAGCGGGCTCAGCACCAAGGGTGGGGGCTGCTCGCTCCCAGAGCGCCAGGTGGTTTTCTGTCCAGGCCCCCAGCAGGGGCGCAGAGGGGAGTCCGGGCCGTGGAGGCCAAAAGGGTTGGCCTGCTGGGGGCTGAACCGGCAGCTTTGAGCTGAAGTTTCATGGAGGGAAGCTTGTGTGAGGCAGGCCTAGGGCCCCCACTCCTTCATCCTGAAGCCCCCCAAGGAGGATGAGTCCTGATTGGCCAGGTACACAGTGAGGGCCGACCACAAGCTCACCGAGTGAATGAGCTGAGGAGGAGTGAGCCAAGGACAGGGTGGAGGCAGGTGAGGAGCTGGAGAACGTGGATGGATGAGTGCTTAGGTGGGGGGATGGGTGG